TTAACATCAAACCTAATTTGGTAAAATGTTGGCGTGACTTCCTGTCACACGATCAGTCGAACTTTTCAATAAATTTTCTGAAATACATGCCGTAACTACTCTGTAACTACTAGCTATTACAAAGGAACAGCACGGTAGAGGAAATGTTCAAAAAAGGTCTTACCGTCGCTTGCAACTGCGGGTCAATCAAAATTCAAAGTTTTCACAGTCAAACTTTCAAAGTTTACCCACCCACTTGGGAATGTTTTGGTGCCACTCCGCAAACACTTGAAGAGGAGCAAAGTCAGCAACGTGTACGGGCATTTTGTCTTTTGCAGTTTTGAAAATCAGAATGAATTATAGGAAATCAAGAGAGGAATTTCTGTTGGATATCAATTGTCATCTTTTACAATATCCAGGGGAATTAGGGAAGAAATGGTTCACCTCAACATTGTCTGCATGGTATCTAGCTGAAGATGATCTTCATTTTCGCCCTGAAGGCCACAAAAGGTAACAAAAGACTAGTCTTGAACATGATTGCTCGGCTAACAACGCCTGCAAGAGTAAAAAGCAGCTTGAAACGTCATACAGCGTCAACACAGCAGTTACAAAGCCCTGAATCAAATCTAAAATCTCCTGCACGGAAACTATCCCAGGTCAGAACGAGAGTGTAGTATCACTCGAAAAAACGTGCAGATCTGAACTCAAAAACAGAGTTTATCACACTAACAATGCTAGAATGCATGCGTCTTACATGTTATGTTCTACCACAAGGAAAAGCACTCTACGTTTGTGTGTGATCCTGTATGAAACATATCTTTCACCTAACATATAGTTGACACTGAGGCTTGCTTATCTGCACATGCGTTTGAAGCAAATTGCTTTTCTTCTTAAGAGAATAGCACCACAAGGATAGCAAGAGTTTTGTGAAAACATATATAGTTTTGTCATGTTTTAGAAAAACAATGTAAGTATAACTTGTTTTGCATAGTGCAAACGGGTACCTACGCCACCCAGCCCCCCTTACCGCAAGGCTAATTGATTAATTGAAATTAATTAATTAAACAAACATTTAAGTTTACACCTTGTGGCGTTATGGCATTATTGCTTAAGTGCTTTAGCGAAAAGCAGCCACCTAAACCATCCCAATAGTGCACTTTGCACTAACAAGAAATACGAGAACCTGTTGGCGCCTACAGACTTCACCACAAAAGAAGCGGTGTGATTCTGATTGGATAATTTGTACAGCCAGACATTCCACAGTTGAGTGGGTTTTGTATAGTTAATTAGGGGATGGAATGAAAAAAACAACAGCGTCCTTGCAGACGTCCCCTACCCTCACGCGCTTCGTGCGCTCGTACGCGTCTTTCCCTTTTCCCTCCCCTTTGGACGCCTGCCATGCAGGCTAATGAAAAGTCAAAATTTCTTGTAATTGACATTCTATGGAAATTATTTCACATTTCTCTTTTTCATCCAACACAACCTGAACAGTCCATCAGAAAAAGCTGACGATGGCAATTTACTGAAGCCGGGAATCAGACAAAAACTTAATTTAAAAACTGAACATTACCATTCCGGGACACAGTTTTTTTGTACGTGTTCAACGGTTTTGCCAGATCAAAACTAAATAATTTTCTATCTTGCTTTATAATATAGATAGACCCCGCATGCACTTTGATTGGTCAAATACCCATTTTATCAGAATATAAAACATAGATCAAAAGAGACCTATAGTCAAACTCGTGGATTTAGTAATCTGGAGATGAAAAATGTTGGTGATCTTGCAATTATTGGTGTATTATTAAAGGCTGTTAAAACAAGCCGGGTTCATACTACCCAAGGTCGCACTTATCTCACAAAGTGTAGGCCTTTTTGTTGGTTTTTGTAGCACATATTACAAACACATACGCCCAGAATAGCCAGGGTGGCAAAATTGCAGCTGAACATGGAGTCAGGTAAAGGTTAAGGGTTCTTGTGTCTGGGAAAATTTGCATGTATTCAAGTCGTACAAGCTTACAGACCTTTTTCACTGCATTTCACTCAGGGCTATACACAATGTAGATACGGTTCCTTATGAGACAGCACTTCTCTTCCAATGTGGGACTGCTTGTCTCTATATATTGCGTGTAAAATACATCAAAATAAGTAGCCTCTTTTGCAAACATTTTCAGTGTTGACCCAAAAAATCTGTCGACCCATAAATATGTGTTCCAACAAGCTCACAGGGGGTTTCTTTCCCTTTGTTATCTTTTCAATCAGGAAGCAAAAGTGTTAACAAAAGAAAGGGTAAAAAGCATTTAACCTTATCAAAATCAGTAGTATTTGGGAATTTCTTTCCAAGTTTATGTGCATTTCACATCCCACTCAGAGTTCAGATCAATGTACTAAAATAAAAAAGACAAGTATATAGAACACAACTTTAATCTGAACTTAACTCGATGTCGGTTGAACGTGGACAACTCAACACGAATAACTTAAGTGCTATAAACTGCAAAGCTGTGAATGAAGGTCCTGCTTGATTGAACACTGGATCTCACAGGAGATCTAATCTGCCAAACTTGAAAAGTAAAACGATAATAAGTCAAAGACTACTGCAGGGCTATTATTTAAAACAATATTTCAGCTGGCCTCAGGTTTAGATGTTACTAAATTATAAAAATGAAATTACAATATTATATAAGCTTAATGGTGCTGATTTTGTCCTGTTTTCAATAGCCGTTTCGGTCATTAAAAATTGTTCGTTTCACTCATATAAGTTCATTAAGGTTGACGAATAAGACACATTCTTATCAAAGCTTACCACATTAGCATGAGATTTACTCAATTTCAGGTCACTTTCCGGCAAACAAATGCACATCTCTTGGTCATTTTTAACGCCTGGACGAGTCAAATGCTCATGCAATTCAGCCTTCAAGTTGACCATAGTACAAATTCGACCACTCGAAGTCAACTCCACTTCAATTTAGCGAAAGACCTAATATTAATGGTCGTGTAAAAGCTACAAAATCATCAATATTTGGGCTGGGACGATGACGCACTGAGTAGTAACCACACAAACACGATAGCGAGGCTCGCACTGACTGCACGGTTACTATTCCAATATGGCGTTGGGCTCAGTTACTATTCCAACATGGTGTCGGGCTCGGGCGCTCTCGTTCAAGCCTACTAATTACGAACAGTGTCTACACTTGAGTGAGTGAGTGACACATTTGCATATCGGAGTCCCCGCAACAAACACGTTTCTACGCTTTGCGTATCCAGGAGTTTAAAAAAGTGTGTTTTATTGTTTATCACTGCATTACCTCCATATCATAAAGTAAACGAAGAAGCCTAAGCCATGTATTGCACTGTGATAAAACATTCCAGACATTTGAGGACACTCAAGAAATGTATAAAACACTTGCCTGCCGCTCGTGTTTTCTACATTTCCCTTGTGTTTTCAAATGCCTGTTGTGATTTATCACAGTGTAATACACGGTTTAGGCTTCTTTATTTGTTGAGTTATTTTTTTGTAAAAAAAAATACCTCTTAGTCGGCGCGTCGGGTATGTTACAGGTCAATGGGTGAGTGAGTGAGTGAGTGAGAGATGTATGTATGTCACACCAATCAGATTAGATCTACTATAAACAGCCAATCAAATTTCTTGTTGTGAACGTAAATAGTATGTGAGGAGATTTGATCCTGATACAGTTCAGAACGGCCATATTTATTCTTCTATAAAAGAGGAGGAATTATTCATGTATTGGGCTTATTTCGACATCTTCTGAGGCGAGGATTTTGTGGGCGGGTTTGACAAACATTTGCAATTGGATAATCAGTCAAAGAAACACAGTGTTTGGCATATGACTATGAGCATGCAATGAAGGGGGAGCTTTCCCCATTAGATAAAGTTTTCAATTAAGTGAGTCCACTCTGCTACTAGGTTTAAGATTTGAATGATAAGAACAATTGTATTTTAGGGGAGCGGAATGCACTACTGGGAATTTGATGAGGTTGCGACCAGGTTCAA